GACCAGGGGCTGCACCTAGGGATTGGGCCTGCCCTCTGCCACCTGGGAGCAGGCCTAAGCCAGCAGGTCATTATCTCCTGAGGGGTCCCAGACTGCGAGAGGGCACAGGATGGGCTGAGGGACCCCCTCTCCCCCTCGAGTGCACAAATTTTTGTGCACCGGGCCTCTAGTCTATATAATAAAAGCCTAAGCGACCATTATGGCAGAACGACTGGTTGCTATGATGTACACTGACCACCAGGGGGCAGACACTCAATGCAGGAGCTGCCCCCTGGTGGTCAGTGCGCTCCCACAGGGGGAGCGCCACTCAGCCAGAAGCCAGGCTCACACAGCTAGAGCGCAGCGGTGGTGGCAGGAGCCTCTCCCACCTCCATGACAGCGCTAAGGAGCAGCGAGCTGAGCGGTAAGGAGCAGTGAGAAGGCGGGCCGTAAGGAGAGAGGGCTCCAGGACTGCGAGAGGGTACAGGCCAGGCTGCGGGACCCCCCAGTGCACGAATTTCGTGCACAGGGCTTCTAGTACAATAAAACAGTCACAAGCTCATGTGAACTGGATGGAACTTGATTGGCTCTACTACTTACTAGCTTCGTTTTCCTGGTCAAGTTACTTAAATCTTTCAGTACTCAGTCTGAGGTACAATGGGAAAAGTAACAGTACTTACCTTCTGGGTTGTAAGGATTAGACTCTAATCCTTACAGCAGTTCTCAACCTGTGGGTCGCGACCCCTTTGGAGGCCGAACGACCCTTTCACAGGGGTCGCCTAAGACCACCCTGCATATCAGATATTTACATTACGATTTATAACAGCAGCAACATTACAGTTATGAAGTAGCAACAAAAATAATTTTATGGTTGGGTCACAACATGAGGAACTGTATTTAAAGGGCCAGAAGATTGAGAACCACTGGATTAGAGGAATAATTATATGTAATGTTCTCAGAAACTGAGCATTGGCCAATGTTATTATGATAATATAGCACCTTTTCCTCAGTGAAGCCTTTCACGCTTATGCCAATCCCCTCTTTCTAACCACAAAAAGCTGGTTATCCTTTCTAAGAACCCATCACTCTATCTTACAAAACCTGTCACCCTATAGCAGTGATTTTCAACCAGGGTTCTGCAAGAAGCAAACTGTTTTTATTGATTTTAGACCAAAAGGAGAGGAGAGGGAGATACAAACATTGATGAGAGAGAAGCATCATAGCCTGCCTTCTGCATACCAGCTACTGGGGATCAAGTCAGTAACCCAGGCATGTGCCCTGACTGGGAATCCAACCAGTGACCTCTTGGTACATGGGACGATGCTTAACTAACTGAGCCACACTGGCCAAACTGCAAGAATTTTTAAAACATGCAATATTTGACTATTTAGTCAGAGACACTGACCTCTTTTCTCTTAGATTATTATATATTAAAAAAAAATGACAACAGCCAACACAACAACAGCCATCCAGTGTGAATGAATTAAAATTATACCTATTTTTCTGTCAGATGGGAAAAAAATAAATTATTTGGTGTGCCACAGAATTTTAGTAATTAGTTTATGTGTGTCATGAGATGAAAAAGGTTGAAAATCGGTGCCCTATATAATCATTATTTAATTACATGCTGAGCCCCGCTATCAGACCAGTGATTTTCACTCTTATTGTGATAAGAAAGATATTTTACACTGTGACCCCATATACAGGCACATAATATCTGAAACAAAAGTTCACAAAACAATGCTTATCCATACTATGCATATTGCACTCTAGTATTTTCTTTGACATTTCATTTGGTAAAAACTGTAGTTGTGAAGGATTTGGGTTACACAGATGTATGGGTTTTTTAAAACTCAGCAAATGTACTTTAAAGATTCATGCATTTATTATACGCAAATTTTACAAAAAGAAACTAATACTCTAGTTAATTATATAAATGTTGAAGTATTTCGGCAAACTGTATTGATATTTATACTTCGAA